GCCACCACCCTGGGGAGGTCTAGGGCTGGCAGCTGGGATTGGCCTCCCCCCATACACTCACCACGGCTGCAAGAGCCACAGGAAATTAGAGCACTGCTGCAGCTTGTTCTGCTCCGCTGCCATCTCTCAGGCCAACCTGGTTACTCCACTTCCCTACAGCTCCCACTGCCATGGTGAATGCAGGAGGGGCCCAGTCCTTGCTGCCACACCAGGCTCTCCAGTAATCTCTGAAGCCACCTCTCTCAAGCAAGGGTCTCAAGGGAAGGAGTGTAATAGGGAGGCAGGATGGAGCAGGGGCTGGGCTTGGGGAAAGGGTAAAGGACCTTCCACCCGCAGGGCCACAGGGACTCTTGTGCCAGCAACCATGTGTGGACCAGATTGTGGAGCTGTTTGGGCCATGAATGACCCCCAGACCTTGAGTTTGAGACCCCTGGCTTATGAATTCAGTGTGAAATGCTTACAGAAGAGCTGTGAATTCAGCACTGTAAACTGAAGACTTCTGTCTGACTACAGAAAAGGAAAAGCTTAGGCAATGGCTGTGCAGGCTTCCCCTACATAAAGCTCCACCAGTGTCCCGACCCTGCCCTGCAGGGGCTGCCTTTAAAAGACAAGGGTGTAGTTCATTCTGCAGGGCCCATTCAGTCTGTAGTCACTATGTCACTTTGCCAAAATGGGTGCTGGGGTAGTGAGTTTGGAACTTATGCCCTGTCCTTCAGCTGTCTGATTCTGAATTTTTCCCCATCTTAGATGTTCCCATTGAAAGTCTTCGCCTGCGCTTTGCACTACTCCAGTCTCTGAACACCACATTAGAGACATTCTTCCTGCCGCTGGTGGAGTTGCGACAGACAGACGTGTACACTAACAGTATTGCTGCATTACTGCAAGAGGCCAAAGGTCAGTTTCTCAAGGACTGCCCGAGTTCTGTGACTGTTAGATGCTTGGGGGAAGTTGGCAAGTTCTGACGGTTCTCTCAGTGGTACAGACTGGAGACAATATCAGTCCACATTTACCTTGGAAATGAGAGATCCCCAAACTAAGTAAAGCTCCTTGACTTCACTTCTCAACCCAATAACTCATGTGCTGCCTGAAAAGGGTGACTGGGTTAGAACAACCTGAGCACATGAGTAAGAGCTGCTGCTAGAATGTTGCTTGGTGGAGTGGAGTCACCCGGCACTGGGCTGTGTTTCAAATGACCTTGCTTAAAACACAGTTGGAATTTCTGTAACAAGGAGGCTGCTGTGTCTCACTGCAAACCTGAATATATAGATTGTATGATTTTGGGATGGAGACAGGCATCTGTGTGCATCTGTGCTAAGCGTTATGTACATTTGTCCTGCTTTGGGATCTCATGTTTTACTGCAGAAGAAATAACAAGGCTGAAATGGTATGTTAGCCACAGGAACATACAGTACAGTCAAGGATTCCAGAGCTGGTGAGCCACAGAAATTTACTGAGACCTTTGTTTCAGAGTATTAAAAATAACTGATAGAAGCCTTCATGAGAATCTCCAGCAAATATAAAATGAGTAAAACATTTAGGCTGCCCTTGCCAGATCCATCATTTTGTTTATTCTGGAGAAATAGCTGATGTAGGGTCATTGCTCCTACACAATCAGAAAAGGGCACCTGGAAAGCTGTGGTGTGGAAGTTGAGTTATACACAATCTGTTTGTGCATAGTAGGGATGTGAGCGTGTACATGGGTTAACTGAGTCTGGGCTCCAAGGGGCAGCAGAATGGGGAGAGCAGCCGGGAGTCGGTGCTTACGGAGTGTCAGCTTAGCCCCCCTGCACTGCTGCCTTTTAAGCCAGTTCCTCGTGCTTGCCAGATCTCACAGGGCCCCATCTACCCACCGTTCCGCCTGATGTGTAAAAATGGAACCGCTGAAAATTTCAGTGGTACACATTTACCTAAATAAACACATTTTAACATCCTTAGCGCACAGCATATGAATTTGGGTGCTATGAGGCAGACTTATTTAATATCTGTGTTCCTGTCACAATATCACCCTCAGAGCATGCCAGATTTCAGAAGACTATTTAGGAATGTGTTTTCCATCATATTATGAAGCTAATAGTAGCTGACAAGAAATACTGATCTAGCATAAGAAATATGTTGTACAGAAATATTGTAATAAAGTCCTGACTTGACATGTTTCCTTATAAATATTAATGCCGAATATAAAAAAAATTCCCAAAGGTTTGGTTATCCAGTTGTTAGACTGTGGCTCTCAGAAGATTAAATCAGTCCCAAAATGTAAAATTACAGAAGGACCAATAATAGACCAATAATAGACATGTGTTACTTTCTTTAGGGTTAATGTTTTATGACACCAAGGTGACTGTAATGAATCGAGTGCTGAATGCCACTGTGCAAAGAACAGCAGATCATGCAGCCCCAGAAATCACCCTGGATCCATTAGAAATAGTGGGAGGTCTGTATGTTATTTATTCTCTCTCAAATTAATGTTCATTTACTGCCTGGTGTTACACCTTGGAGTTCAGATCAGTCTTAAAATCCTGAGACTCTGAGCTTGCTAGCACAAAATACTCGAGGTAGATTCATTCATTTATTTATTTATTTATTTATTTTAAATAGGGGAGATCCGTTCTTCAGAGAATTCCTACTTTTGCCAGGCAGCTAGACAGCTAGCCTGTGTCCCATCCTCTCAGCTGTGTGTGAAATTAGCCAGTGGCGGGGATCCCACATACGCCTTTAATATTCGCTTCACTGGAGAGGAGGTTCATGGAACAAGTAAGTTTTAGTGCGACAGAAGAGCTGTGACACGTGTGGATCTGGGAATGGTGACCAGAATGCCCCCAAAGAAGGCAAAACGTTTCTTGTTTGACCGATTTGTTGCCATACTCAGGGTATATGCAAATACAAGGGAGGTTTAAAGAACAAACTTTGTTAGAGGAAATCAATTCCTGTTTGCTAGATTGATGCAGTCCCTATGTACTGATTCTATCAAAGTTAATGACTTCAGAGCTTAATGAGTAGATGTAGTGTGGGAGAGGGAAAAACGTAATGCTAGTTAATCCTTTCCTGCTACTGACTCACTCAATTCTGTTAAAACTGCATGACTTGCATGCAAATGACATTAAAGACCTGTGTGAAGTATCTCCCCAAAGCATTAGATTTATTTTTATAAGACACATGGTTATGATGAATAATGATAGCTGCAAGCAGAGATGGATTAATGTGATGCATATTTTCTTGGTTTGCTTAAAGATTCTAACAATATTGTCTCATTGCAAGTAACTATATTGTGAGTACTCTGCCTGCAAGTTTCATCACTTTGAAAACTCATTCCATCTTAATAAGGTTATAAATTCCCCTTGAAGGCCAAGCAGAATAACAAAGGTATTGCATCTCCTCAGATAACCTTAAATAAGCAAGTAGCAATTGAAGACAAGATTGTTACTTATGAAGGTAGCAGGAAGCACTTCACTGAATGTTTTTTTCTGCAGTTAAACAACTGAAATGCAGATATACACATGAATAGATAAGGGATGGCGGCCATCTCTCCCAACCTGGATTAACCATACATACACAGTGAGCATCAGAATGGCCAAAATGAGCTAGACCAAAAGTCCATCTGGCTCAGCATCCTGTCTGCCAACAATGGCCAATGCCAGATGCCCCACAGGGAGGGAACACAACAGGGAATCAAGTGATCCCTCCCCCGTCACCCATTCCCAGCTTCTGGAAAACAGAGGCTAAAAATGAAGAAGAGATTAAACATGTTTCACTTGTAAAAATTTAAGTGCGAAGTAGATTTCAGGGGGATAAGTACACTGTGGATCAGAAAGAGCCAGGAGTGAAGCCAAAAAAGGGAGAGGGTGTTTGGTTTATTATAGTGAAATCTTTGCATCGTTCTTTCAGGTGGTTCATTTCGTCACTTCCTGTGGCAGGTCTGTAAGGAGCTACAGAGCTCCTCGCTTTCCCTGCTCTTGCTGTGCCCCAGCTCTGCAGTCAATAAGAATAAGGTATGATATCCCCATGCAGAATTCATAGACAAGTGCTTTCCTCCTACTAAGAACATACTGGATATCAGCAATCAGTGACCAGGACAGGGTTTGAATCGTTAGACTGGAAGAGACATTGAGAGATCATCTAGTTCAATCTCCTGCATTCTAGACCATTGGTTCTTGGCTAGGGGTCCGAGATCCCTGGGGGCCATGAGCAGGGTTCAGGAGGACCACCAGGAAGGGTGAGCATTAGACTTGCTAAGGTCTAGGGTAGAAAGCTGATGCCATTCTGCGTGGATCTGAAACACAGGGCCCCAGGCATCTGCCGTGCTTGGTGTCCTCTAATGCCAGCCCTGGCTTTTATCTGCAGAAAACAGTTATTATAGCCCTGGGGGCCTGTGGAGTGTTTATAGAATGTGAGGGCGGGGGAGCTCGAAAAGAAAAAGCTTGAGAACCCAATTTAGATCTCAGAATGCTCTCAGCTGCTGACTAGTGGAGTTTTTAAAGTGATGCTTGTGGGAGCTAGCCATACAATTCCCATTAATGACTGGAGGGAATGTGTAGATGAGTTCTCCCCACATGGTGTTGAGAAATGTGCTTCATGTCCTCAAGAAGTAAGGAGCTTCTCTGTCAGCTCCACACTGTAGTTCTGACCTTAGAACAAAGCCCATCTCCTCTAAAACATCCTTTCCAGTGTTTGTCTTCAAGATTGTCCCTTGTATCTCGTTTATGGGCCTGATTCTGCTATTTTGACTCTACAAATGTCCTCTCTGAGGTTATTTGTGGTATTTATGGAGTAAGACCAAGTTCAGTGTCGGTAAGGGATATTGGAATTTGGCTCCTATTTTGTGTGTGCATCATTATACATAAGTGGAGACATGGTTCTATTCCAGTGAGCTCACATCACTGAGGCATGGTTCTTTCCCTGCCATGCTCCGGCAGTGGAGCAAGGATACCTTATGCAGAGCAGACCCATAACAACATTGCAATTCTGTATGTAAACTAGTGCATAGCAGGCTACGACCTATGTGCTGTAGACCCTGAAGTATTAAAACTAATACAAAAATCTAGGTTAGTGTTCTCCACATTTTAAAAGCAGAACCCCCCTTTAGCACCACAGTGTGATGTTAAAGGCCAAATCTTACATCTCTTTGGGCCCTGTGCTTTGAGAAATCCTGTTCTAAGCAACTAAATAGTCTTCAGCGTGCCTGAAAAATCTCTCCCCTGCTTGTTCTTAACTCCAGACTTGAATGTTTTCAGGAAGTTTCTCTAATTGTTAAATGTGTGTTTGTTTTATAAGGGGAAGTACATTCTGACACCTAGTCCTATCACCTATGCGGAGGAGCAGCTGCTTCATTTCTTCGGACAGCTACTGGGCATTGCAGTTAGAGCAGATGTTCCTCTTCCACTGGATCTCTTAGCCTCCTTCTGGAAGACCTTAGTAGGAGAACCGCTGGATCCAGATGTTGATCTCCAGGAAGCTGACATCCTTACCTACAACTATGTCAAAAAAATTGAAAATGTAATTTTCTTCTTTCCTTTGTCTCCTTTGCCCACAGCACTTGTGATTGGAGGGAATGTGTAGATGAGTTCCCCCCATATGGGCTATGTCTACATTGGCATCCCTTTCCGGAAAAGGGATGCTAATGAGACGAGTCGGAATTGCAAATCCGCGGGGGATTTAAATATCCCCCGCAGCATTTGCATTTACATGGCTGCCGCTTTTTTCCAGCTTGGGGATAAGCCGGAGAAAAGCGCCAGTCTAGACGCGATTCTCCGGAAAATAAGCCCTTTTCTGGAGGATTTCTTATTCCTACTTTCAAGTAGGAATAAGAAATCCTCCAGAAAAGGGCTTATTTTCCGGAGAATCGCGTCTAGACTGGCGCTTTTCTCCGGCTTATCCCCAAGCTGGAAAAAAGCGGCAGCCATGTAAATGCAAATGCCGCGGGGGATATTTAAATATTCCAGTGAGCTGTCTAATCTGCATCAGTGTAGACACAGCCATGGTGTTTAGAAATGTGCTTCATGTCCACTAGAAGTAAGGAGCTTCTCTGTCAGCTCCACACTGTAGTTCTGACCTTAGAACAAAGCCCATCTCCTCTAAAACATCTTTTCCAGTGTTTGTTTTCAAGACTCTCTTGTATCTTGTCATGAGAAATTTGTTTATGGACCTGTGGCCAGATCTACACTAGACCCGGCAACCTAGCTTAAGGAATGCAACTCCAGCTGCATGGAATACTTAGATAGAGTTGTCTTACCTTAAGCTGAGTATGGCAGCATTCCCACAGCGGGTGGCAAGAATAGGAGTACTGGTTGCTGGCAGGGGCACCCTGAGTTTGATTTAGCAAGCCTTAATTAGACTCACTAAATCGAACTCCAGAAGATCAATTGCGGCAGCGTTGATCTTCCACAGAGTGAAGATCTGTCTTGATTCTGCTATTGTGACTCCATAGACACCCACACTGAAATCATTGGTGGTACTTATGGAGTAAGACCCAGTTTAGTGTTGGTAAGGATATTGGAATTTGGACCCTACTATGTGTCCTAGACGTTCTACAGAAAAATTGGAGACCTGATTCCTGTCCCAGAGGGCGCTCAGTCACTGAGGCATGGTTCCTTCCCTGCCATGCTCCAAAAGTGGGGCTGCTGAGTGATGTCCAAACCATGCAATAATTGTACTGCCCAACGGCAAGTTGACCCTGCAGACATCTATTAAAAGGCCAGTAGGATTCCTTGTCGGTGCAAGGATCTGTCATTGTGCATAAAATTGGAGGATGGGATCCTGAGTTTTTAGTAATTTTACATCCTGTCGGCGTAGCAAAGCAGCAGAACCATGCATTGTTGTCCTTCGCCCACTGGCCATGAGCTGCTTAAACTGAGACTAGGAACTTGTAACTTTTTACGGTTTCTCTGTAGGTGCCATGATCAGCAGGGTTAGTGCTTCCACATTAGGTAGCAACAGGTTTGACTCATTGCCAGCTTATATGTTGATCTGGCTTTAGCAGTGCTGAAATCTAATGAAGAAACTTAATGCTGTATGTCAGTTATTTAACTCTTAGCTGTTTGAATTCAGAACAATTGCAAGCACAGGGTGATCTCATGCACAAATGTAGTAAGGTGTGCAGTTATCAGCAGAACTGTAAAACCAGTCATAACTGTAAAAAGTCTGTGAAATGCTGTTTCCCTAAATATTTTGCATTCTGCAGCATGTGATACTTAATACCACCTCAGTAATCTGTATAGTGTGACACTAGAATGGTGGCTTGCTCAACTCGTACCCACATGCAGATCTAAAAGTAGCTATCCTGCAGCAAAAAAACTTCAGGACCAGACTTCAAAGAGAAACTGCTGAGCTACAGTTCATCTTTAAGTTTGACACAATCAACTCTGGATTAAACAAAGACTGTGAATGGCTTGCTAACTACAAAAGCAGCTTCTATTCTCTTGGAATTCACACCTCCAGATCAGCTGCTAGAAGTGGGCCTCATCCTCCTTGATTGGATCCACCTGGTCATCTCCAGCCTGATCCTGGCCTGCATATTTATTCCTGCCTCTGGAAATTTCCACTACATGCATCTGACGAAGTGGGTCTTTGCCCACGAAAGCTTATGCTCCTACACTTCAGTTAGTCTATAAGGTGCCACAGGACTCCTCGTCGCTTTTACCTGTGGGCAGGTTATCTGTCACTGCTTGTGCCACTGGATAATGTAAAATGTAATAGGGTCCTTTTACTCGTTATGTTGGCTTGGTGGTTTAATAGATTAACAAGAACAAGGTACAGCAAAGTGCAAGTTATTAGCCATCACCATCATGTGTCATCCTAGATAAATGATGAGACTGAACTGGAAGCCTTGTGTGCTGAAATTGCATCCCAGCATCTAGCAACAGAGAGCCCTGATTGCCCTAACAAGCCTTGTTGCAAGTTCACCTACCTGAGCATGACAGGTGAAGAGGTGGAGCTGTGTCCCAGAGGCAGGCACATTCCTGTAGTGTGAGTAAATCCATTATTGGGAGGATGTTTTGTGAAGAAAAGTGGATTAGAAGTTTCTGTGTGATGGCTTTTCCACCATCAGCTAAATGGTAATGCAGCTGTAACTTGGGGAAATCTAGGGTGCTGAGGATACTGATACAATTGATTGGCAGCAGTAGGCTGGAGGTTCCCAGCTCATCCGTAAATAACAAAGGACTGGGTAGCTGTGAAAGTGAGGGGCATGTATTTGGATCAGCAGGTGCTGCTGCATGTGGCATTAAATTGGGGACAGATATGGCATAAGAATGACAATGGCCTGAAGCCATGTTTGGTAACCCAGAAAATGGGCTTGAAGTGGAAGAGGGTGGGGGATAAGATTTTTCCTCTCAGACTCGTTTGTTTATGAATTCCTTATGTCAGGTGGGAGAATAAGGACATCTACGCAACAGCAATCCGGAACCTGAGGCTGCGTGAACTGCAGAATCCCGACTGCATGACAGCTGTACGTGCCGGGCTAGGATCGATTATACCCCTGCAGCTTCTAACAACACTGACTCCTCTCGAAATGGAGCTAAGGACATGTGGGCTACCTTACATTAACCTGGAGTTCCTAAAGGTACGTTGTTCTGCAGCCCCTTTTGGAACGTATGTGCCTAAAGCTAAGGTAATGGATTGGTAAGCACTTTCTGATGTCATTAGAGGTTTTGGAACAAATCGATAAACTAAACATTAACAAGGCACTGGGACCTGATGGCATTCACCCAAGAGTTCAGAAAGTACATAAATGCATCCAAGAATACTCAAGGAGCTGATAGAGGAGGTATCTGAGCCTTTAGCTATCACCTCTGAAAAATCATGGAAGTTGGGAGAGATTCCAAAGACAGAAAAGAGCAAATCTAGTGCCCATCTATAAAAAGGGAAATAAGAACAACCCAGGAAACTACAGACCAGTTAGTTTAACTTCTGTGCCAAGGAAGATAATGGAACAAGTAATTAAGGAATTCATCTGCAAACATCTGGAAGAAAATAAGGTGATAGGTAACAACCAGTCTGGATTTGTAAAGAACAAATCATGTCAAACCAGTCTGATAGCTTTCTTTGATAGGATATCAAGCCTTGTAGATAAGGGGGAAGCAGTAAATGTGGTATGCCTACGCTTTAGTAAGGCATCTGACATGGTCTCCCATGACCTTCTTATCAATAAACTAGGGAAATGCAACTTAGATGGGGCTACTATAAGGTGAGTGCATAACTGGCTGGTTAACCATTCTCAGAGAGTAGTTATTAATGGTTCACAATCATGCTGTAAGGGCATAACAAGTGGGGTTCTGCAGGGGTCTGTTTTGGGGCCGGTTCTGTTCAATATCTTCATCAATGATTTAGATATTGGCTTAGAGCCGTGGTCACCAACCAGTAGATCGCGAGCTACCGGTAGATCTCAGGGGCTCTAAGAGTAGCTCTTGAGCCTCTCTGAACTGCGCGCCTGCACAGTACATTTACATTAGATTTCCTCATTTGAGGAGCAGCTACTCACTGAGCAACAACACAGGTGAGTAGCTGCGAGGAATGGTGGGAGCTAGGAGGTCAAGAGGGCTGAAACACCCCAGCCAGCTGACTGTGGCTTTCACAGCTGGAGCTAGGCACAGCCTCCCTGGGCTGAGCGTAGGGCAGCCAGGCTGGAAGGAAGAGAAGTGGCTGCCCGGCCAGCTGGCCACGGCGCTCAGCCAGGGTGCACCAAGCTCCACGTGGGCAGGTGCAGAGGAGAAGCCA